CACTGAAGCTACCAGCATGAATTTGACCCAACTCTGGGAGACAGTGAAAGACAGGAGGGCCTGGCATGCTCTGGTCCATGGGGTTACAAAGAGTCAGACAGGACTTAACGACTAAACAACAACAAATCACTTCCCTTGATTTAGACACTATACTCCTATTGATGCAACCAAGAATTGTATTGGCTTTCTTGACAGCCGCATTGCACTGCTGATTCATATTCAGCTTGTGGTCTACCAAGACTCCTAGATCCTTTTCACAGTTACTGTTGTCTAGCCAGGTGTCTTTCATCCTACATCTGTGCAGTTCATTTTTTTCTGCCTAGCTGTAGGACCTTACATTTCTCCCTGTTGAAATTCATTAGTTTTGACCCAGAACTCTAATCTGTCGAGGACATTTTGAATTTTAATCCTGTCCTCTGAGGAATTAGCAACCCCTCCCAATTTGTTATCATCTGCAAATGCAATCAGCATACTCTCTATTCCTTCATCCAAGTCATTGATAAAGATACTGAATAGCATAGGGTCCAGAACAGAACCCTGAGGCACCCCACTAGTTACCTCTCTCCTGGATAGAACTCTAATCTGTCGAGGACATTTTGAATTTTAATCCTGTCCTCTGAGGAATTAGCAACCCCTCCCAATTTGTTATCATCTGCAAATGCAATCAGCATACTCTCTATTCCTTCATCCAAGTCATTGATAAAGATACTGAATAGCATAGGGTCCAGAACAGAACCCTGAGGCACCCCACTAGTTACCTCTCCCCAGGATGAGAAGCCATTGTGAGCACCCTTTGAGTTTGGCCAGTCAACCAATTAAAAATCCACTGAACAGTAGCACTGTCTATCCCAGATTTTAGTAGCGTCCTTACAAGAATATCATGAGGAACTTTGTCAAAGGCCTTACTGAAATCAAGATATGATGCATCCACAGCATTCCCTTCATCTATCAAGCCTGTAACTCTATAAAAAAATTATCCTTCACTCTCCCTGATGGTTGCCAAAATAGCATTTCTATTCAACCTTCCAAACACTAAAAATGTTTTATTAGTTAGATACTAGGAGATAACTAGTTTTGAAGTTGCAGTTATAATTAATTTAATAATGGAACGACTTTAATTTCAGTGAAACAATATCAATATTTTTAAAGGAAAGAGGCACAATTATATAGGTATGCAGTGACTTCAATACTCATTTCTGTGTGGTCAAACAAACTCTTGATTGCTTACTTAGGCACTTCGTGGTTTAATGAAAATTTACTGTACATATGAATAAAATAGAAATACTGGCCAAAATCCAGTTGTATTTTTATACCACCATAATGCAGTTGGCAAAAATCTTTGTGGTGAATTGTCATCAGTCAGGCATTTGCTTCTGAGTGCCAAGCCATACACTTTGGTGAGCAACAACAAATGCTTACTCTGACTTCCTAACTGGTGGCAATTTGCTACTGAGACCAGCAAGCATAACTAACAGGATTTTGACCACTGGATTATCTTTCAAGCTGTTTGAATAGCTCAGTGATTTGGATTCTTGGTTGGTCCCACTGAAGACGACCAGCAAGCATAACTAACAGGATTTTGACCACTGGATTATCTTTCAAGCTGTTTGAATAGCTCAGTGATTTGGATTCCTGGTTGCAGAGCCAGAGGTTACGAGTTCACTGCCCCACTGAAGATGAAAGCCTATTGGTCAATGTGGGAAATGCTCTGGGACTGGGATGGTCTGATTCATACTATCTTCCACTGACTACATTACATGAAAGTCAATCCAAAACAGCCCAGAGCTTTCCCCCTGTCATCCATACTTTCTTCGTGCTCTTGTGCTAGTACAGCAAGTCTTTAAAAGAAAAGGAAGGGAAACTAAAAAAGTCAATCCAAAACAGCCCAGAGCTTTCTCCCCTGTCATCCATACTTTTTTCGTGCTCATGTGCTAGTACAACAAGTCTTTAAAAGAAAAGGATGGGAAAATAAAACCAGGTATGGGGAAGAGAGGATTCAAACTGTTAAGCTGCAAACAAGGCGATTCATTGCATCTCTCTGCTGATTCCTGTGCGTCTGACTAAAGTGAGTTAACCCGGTGAAACATGATTTCCCAGATGCAATTTCACAGCAGATTCATTCACACTTCGCCTCTGTTTAGTCACACCCTGTATTTCTTGGGAGGAGAACCAGACTATAACCTTGGGCAAGCTGCACAGTCCCAGAGCAACCTAGTAAGATGGAAATGGTAGTCAAATTTTGAGTACTCTGCACATGGGAAATCCTTGAAGAAGTCAAATCAACACACATTTATATAAAATACTGTAATAGCCTAACTGCAGCCATCTTGCCTCTGTAACTTGCTTTGCTGCATGAATATCATGTTTCTGCTTAGTGGACAGAAATAGACAAAGGAGGGAGGCCACCTGCATTCTGTTGCTTGCAAGTAAATAGTCTAATTGAGAATTTGTTCTTGGTTACTGATAAGAGAGCTACCTCATGCTAAGGGGGGAGAGAAGAGTTACTGCTAATAGCCTAGCCGCTTGTGCAACCCCTCTTTCTCCATACCCCTTGCCTCCCTCTTGTCAAAACTTATTAAATGTGTATCTGTAATAAGTGGGTGGCACTCTTCTCCGCATGTTTGGCAGACGAACTTGCGTCCATTATCTTTCCTTGCTTTCAGCTGAAAATAAATACCGTATATCTCAGATCTCCTTGTCCCTGGTTAAATAAACATATATCAGAGACAGGTTAATGTGCAGAAATTAGTTCTGGCACCCTTCACCCTGACCACAATTAAATTAGCTGCACAAAGTTATGATTGCTATTTTTCCCCCTGAATTGTTCCGTCTACATAGAGTAGCAACCATCACATTGGAGTGATTCAGAACCCTGGTAACTTGAAAAGGCTGGCTTGAATGCATTAGTATTTGTGTAGGGTTTGTGTAATTTGCCCTAACTAAAAGCAGCTAGCTGGCAAAGTGCTGGGATGCAGCTTGGCTGCACAACTGGACACAAAAACAAAGGCATGGCACCAAACTGACTAGCACTTCATTAGTACATAACACATTCAATTTTTATCATATTTCATATCTTTTTTTTAAAACCGCCGGTGGGTATGGGGGCGGGGCTTGCCTCTTTCTGGGTCAGAGAAGCCGCCCTTCAGCACGTAAACCTCAACCTCCCCGCCCAATCTGGTCGCTCACCTGTTCTTACTAGTCGAGGTTGTTCTGGGCACTGAACAGCCGCCTGGCCACCAGACGGGCGGGGCGGGGCTGGGGGGGAATTGAGAGAGAGAGAGAGAGAGAGGTGCCGGCAACCTTTCCGCTGTAGCGGAGAACAGAGGGGAACCATTCGGTCACCTAGGTAACAACGACGCCTACGGCGAGGCTATGGGGACAATTTTAGCCATCTCCTTCGTATCACCTGATGCTGTTGCGCAGGGATTTTCTGACGCTCTGCCATCAAGGACTAAAATGGTTCCACACAGAACGTGCCTTGCTTAGACTTCCACCCGCCTGTGCTCTAGTAGGGGATCTTTTGTTGTATACTCGACATTTCTGCGGAGGAGAAGTTGTGCTATGTATGTTGCACTTCTGCCTGCCACCCAGGTCCTAAAAGGTACAGGGAGTGTCTCTCTTCCCTTACTGAGAACAACAAAATGAATTCAGTTCGACTGTAATAGAATCTACAGTCAGACAGCAACCGATATCCATACTGTAGTCTGCAAAGAGTCTCTTTCTGAGACATCTTTCTGCACACCTCGGGCAACGGTTTTTTTTTCCTTGTTTTTTTTTAGAAATGGTTCTGATGTTTTCAGTCAGTGGCAGTGAATGAGGACTAAGTTGCGAGGGCTGCTTCTAGTTTCTCAGTTATAAGATGTTTTCAGGAACAGGGAGAGACTTGTGGCGCTTCAGATGTTGCTGATGTGCTCCCATCTAGCCTAACTGTATGGATGTTGGGAAGCTGCAACCAAAGAACATCTCTAGAGCACCACAGGTCCACCACCACCACCTTAAGAGAAATTAATGGGTGATTTATTTATTTATTTATTTATTTATTTATTTGTGTGTTTGCCATGGTGGGAGGATTGGGAGAATTTGTTCAATCTGGACTAATGGTCGGGATATGAAATAATACATTTTCCCTTAGCATACGCAAAGTACTGTGCAACTTGTTACCAAATAGCTTTAGTTTTTCTAGTGAAACCTACAGACAAGGATGAACTCAGGGACCTGTCCTTTTTCTAGAAGTTAATTACTGGGAAATGAGGTGCCAAGGGTATCAGGCATTTTGATACACCTAGATGAAAACAGAGAGACGTGTCAGCTTGTCATTGACCTAACTCTTACTATTCACTGGAGAGCAGCAGTAGATTTATGACAGACAATGCAAGACATGCATTATGCAGTAGAGTGATGTTTTCTCATACCTCAGGCTTGATTTATGTCACTCTTAATAAAAATATTGATCATTACTGTCCTTGATTTTTTTTTCTCTCAAAGGAATGAATCCATAGGTTTCACAGAAAGCAGAAGCTGTTGCTCTTCAAATTCATAAAATCCGTTAATATTTGTTCCTAAGGATTTTTTTTTACTATGTATGCATCATATAGAAATCTTTGGACATTACCCACACATGGCTCTGGAATATTGAAAACATATTGCCAGACCTGTTTCCAAATCTTATTTGGACTTATTTCTACTACTAGACTTATTTCTACTAAATTTAACATAAATTCCATTTTGCATGAAATGGCTTATGTAGCATTTGGCAGGACCTCTTCACTTAATCTGTCATTGTGTTTGTGATAGATCTAATTCCAATCTCTTGCCAGTATTCGTGTGAAACAATGTATTTATTTGAACCAACTAATTTTAAAATGCAGTGTGCATATATTTGAGTTCCCTTACCCAAACTGGGGGAAAAGTGAAAGCAAAGAGATTTAAATGTGATGGATTAGTCCAACCCAGAGTCAGTACTAGAATAAAAGGAGACTGAGAAATAGGTACTGTATGCCTGTTATGTACTATGAATATATTTGTTTCTTTAACTTTAATATTTTTAGTTTGTCCGAACTCCTCTACCTGGAAGTCCCACATAATAATGTTTAACCCAGTTTGATTTAGTGCCTATCCAGGTTTGGCTTCATTTGGAAGGAAGTGACTGGAGGATTGAGTTTGTGTACATATCTACAGATGGAGTATAGATGGAGGCTATACAAGTGTAAACACTCCAACAGGATCTTCCACTGGCCCACATCAGATTCAGATGTAATGCTGTTGATTTGAACATTCAACATAAGACCTATATCAATATATGAGGAGAACAGCACATTAATTTCACCCACTCAGGTTCATGACAAGGGCGGGCAGGTTTTGCTTTTAGACTTGTTTTTCACATGAACAGAGGGTATGGGGCTCCTAGAGGAGATTCACAGAGCGTAATATATACATTTTGAGGCCATGAAGAAATAAACATCTAAAAATGGAAGCAAGAAGTGTCTGGGCAAGACACAAAAAGGACTGGATTGATTGTGCAAATGCCTCCATTTAGATCAAACAGGTAGCTATCTCCTTTTGCCACCATTACCCAATGTATGGACTAATTTTCTTGCCTTTGTTTTTTTTAGTAAACCACTTTTTTAAAAAAATTCTGAGCCTCTCTCACTATTCCTCTTCTCCCAGAAGTGTGTGCTCCATATTTAGTTAGCCACAACATTGGCTATTACAACATTGTGGAACAGGAATCTGATCTACTCTGGGTTCTTTAGGCCAGTGGTCCCCATCCTTGGGCCTCCAGATGTTCTTGGACTTCAGCTCCCAGAAATCCTGGCTGGCAGACGTGGTGGTGAAGGCTTCTGGGAGTGGCAGTCCAAGAACATCTGGAGGCCCAAGGTTGGGGACCACTGCTGTAGGCTACACAATTGCATCCTGTATATGCTTTCCAGCTTCTAATCCTGTTTTTATCCACTTTGAGCAAATACTGGGTCTTTGTGGGGGGTTTTTGTTGATTTTTTTAAAAACTGTTCTAATCATTTAGGCATCTGTGGTGTTTGCTTATTGTGTAGTGTACTATTTGTCTTTTAGGAACTAATTAGAAATACTAAGTAGAATTTTCAGTTCTTCAGTGCAACTATTAAGTATATTTTAATTCTTGTGTATAGAATAATAAAAAACCTTATGACAAATATTGTGTGAGTCACTGGGACAATCTGCTGATACATACAGTACTATCTAAGTTCCCTTGTATGCATCTATTTCCATTACATATATGGATTCATTCATGTCTATGCGCAGTATCCTTGATAATACCACTAGTTTATCTCTGTGTTACAGAGATTACTGGAGAGATTGCTGGAGCCCATGGACTAATAAGCAACCAGATGTTATGTATTTCATGTACCATAGTCATACATTAAAAACCCATTTCTGCACAAGCCCTTGTGATTTCAATTTTACTTACATGCCTATAGCAATTGCTTGGTATGCAGGACAGACCTGATTTCATGTGGCTCTAATATGAAACAGCCCAAATGTTGTGTTTTTCATGTCTAAATTTATCTTCCATGTTTCATTGTCTACAAAACTACAATATATCATAGATTATATAAAATAATCTACAAGCTTTTGCTAACACAAACTACATATGCCAAAGAAAGATATCCACATCTAAAGCTGTGACCATTTTATATATCATCAAATGGGAACAACATTTGGATTAATCTTCCAAGAATATATCTTTTAACATTGTGGGAATAACTAATTCTAAATCAGTTATAATCTAACAGTGCTAACATATTGGCAGCTTTCTGTCTTTACCTTCTCTATGATGTGAAAAAACTGCTGCAACTATAACCATGTCTGCTTAAAACATTAATAATATATACGAGCTTACCTATAAAACTCTTGAACCTTCAGCCCTTTCACTGGAATACAACAGATGTTTCTCTTTTGACATGCCAAGATGGTGGAAGGGTGGCCAATAGAATGGAAGCCAAAGTCAACAGAGGTAAAAAGGTAAAGGTTCCCCTTGACAATTTTTGTCCAGTCGTGTTCGACTCTAGGGGGCGGTGCTCATCCCCGTTTCCAAGCCATAGAGCCAGCGTTTTGTCCGAAGACAATCTTCCGTGGTCACATGGCCAGTGCGACTTAGACACGGAACGCTGTTACCTGCCCACCGAAGTGGTCCCTATTTATCTACTTGCATTTGCATGCTTTCAAACCGCTAGGTTGGCGGGAGCTGGGACAAGCGACGGGCGCTCACTCCGTCACGTGGATTCAATCTTACGACTGCTGGTCTTCTGACCCTGCAGCACAGGCTTCTGCGGTTTAGCCCGCAGCGCCACCACGTCCCCTAAGTCAACAGAAGGAAGGGCTAATTCTGGGTTTGTTCCTCTTTCAAAGACACTGCAGTACAGTTCCTTAACATTTACTGTAATCCCTAATTCAACTGAAGAATAATCACATATTAGTTCATTATACCATTCTACTTAGAGTAATCCAAACAAAGTATGTTGCTGATTGATGAAGGTTGGAAGTGGGATCCCTTTTCTGTATAGACCCAGAATAACTCATTACAGGCTTCCATCTGTTTTAATTTTTCCTTGAGTGTAATTCAAATTGAGTTTCCACACTATGGTATGTCCCCTCCCTGCTCCGCTCTGTCTCCAGCCCTTGGAAGAGGGATATGCAGAAACCCTAGTTTTTATGAACTGTAGGAGAGGAAGGAATCTCTTCCAGAACTCAAAGGGAAGGAAAGATGCAGGAAACCCAGAAGGACAGCTTAGAGATGTAACTCTTTTCTTCTTCCAAAGTAAAGAAAAGGTATTATATGATCCTGTCGGGCATGAGGCAGAGGGCAAGAGACATCAGTGCTGGAGAGAACATCTGCAGCAAAAGACATACTTGGTCTGTGTTGAGAACAATCCCACACATGACATCACAGCTGATGTTAGTGGATTTGCAACTGTACACATTCCCAAAAGTCCTAGATTTGTTGAAGAGAAAAGAATATATGATAACAGGATATAGAAGTGCCTGGGCTGAGGAGGAGAAAAGTTCCAAAGCAAGGGAAAATAATCCAGATGCAAAACAAAAGACATTGATTCAAGCCTCAGCTAACAGCATGTAGATCTACTAAACTAATGTAAACCAACAGCAACTGAACCACTTCTTAAAACAGGCAACATGAGCAGCAGCCAACTTGCCCGAGTGCCATCCTAGACACATCCTTACACTTGCTGATCTTTTCTAGATACTTCATTGCTGTCCTTCCAAGACTCAGTTTTCTTCTGATTTCTTGGCTGCAGTTTCCCTTTGGACAGATGATTGAACCACCGTGTGCAAAATCTCTATTTCAGTTTCTTCATTGTCAATGCTAAAGTTGCATATCTCCTCTTGTAGTCACGATTTTTGTCTTCTTAATGTTCAACCGCAGTCCTGCTTTGGTACGTTTTTCGTACACTTTCCCTGAAAGTCATGCATATCTCCTCTTGTAGTCACGATTTTTATCTTCTTAATGTTCAGCCGCAGTCCTGCTTTGGTACGTTCTTCTTACACTTTCCCTGAAAGTCATTTCAAGTCCTTTCTGCTTTCTACCAGTAAGACGGCGTGGTCTGCGTATCTTAAATTACAGCTGTTTCTTCCCCCAACTTCCACGCCTCCTTCATCTGAATCTAGCCCAGTTTTCCATATGTCCTGCGTGCAGATCGAACACATTATTATGGGGATGAAATGCACCCTTGTCTGACACCTATACCTATAGGAAACCAATCTGTGTCTCCATATTCTGTCCCAACGGGAGCTTCCTGCCCACAATACAAGTCACACACCGCAGGTTGAGGCGGCAAGTAGTAAGAAAGAGCGAGAAACCCCATCAGCCTCCGCTCCACAAGAGGCGCTGTCTCCTCTCTTGGCGGTGGCCGATCCAGGCCGCGCCGCGGGGCCTCAGTGGTGCCTTCCTCGCTTTGCAGCTTCCCGTGGCCAGAGCCGAGGCAAGGCGAATGGGGTCGCCAGGGGTCGAGCTGGGCTTCGCGGAGGAGGCCGCGGCTTGGCGGCTAGGCCGCG